GTTGAACCGAGACGGTCCCAAAGGGTTCGCAGGTCGTGCTATTCCAGATGGATTACATGGTATATTTGCAGAATTTGATTCAAATGCTATTGATAGCTTAGACCCAATATGTTACCAGAGGACTATTTCTAGCTCACATTCTTCTGAATGGTTGGAGGCTATGAGTAAAGAAATTGCCTCTATGTACCGCAATCACGTATGGGAGCTTGTAGAGCTACCAAAGGGGTTTAAACCAGTGGGTTGCAAGTGGGTCTTTAAAACAAAGCGAGGAGCTAGGGGTGAAATTGATAGATATAAAGCCAGACTTGTAGCTAAAGGCTACAACCAGAAAGAAGGTATTGATTACACAAAAAACCTTCTCTCCGGTATCCACCAAAGATGCTTTTAGAGTGGTAATGGCTTTAGTTGCAGCACAGCTTGATCTTAATCTTCACCAGATGGATGTTAAGACTGCGTTCTTGAATGGCGATTTGTATGAAGAAGTCTACATGACACAACCTAATGGTTTGTTGAATCCGGTAAAGAACATCTAGTGTGCAGATTAAAGAGATCCATCTATGGGTTAAAACAAGCCTCTAGGCAGTGGTATCTGAAATTTGATGAAGTTATCACCTCTCTCAGTTTTGTTGAGAATGTCTCAGATCAGTGCATCTATCAAAGTTTTGATGGGAACAATTTTGCCATTCTTGTTCTCTATGTTGATGATATCTTATTAGCCAGCAATTCAATAAGTTTCCTCAATGAGATAAAGCCCTATTGTCCTGCCATTTTGACATGAAGGATATGGGTGAAGCCTCCTTGTGTTCTTGGGATACAAATTCATCGTGATAGATCTCGTGGTATTCTGGTTTATCACAGGCCACTTATATTGAGCGGGTACTTAAGAGATTCAAAATGGATTCATGTTTTCCTTCACCTGCTCCTGTACAGAAAGGTGGGGCTGTTGTCAAAGTCACAGTGTCTCAAGGATTAAGAAGAGGGCTGAAATGAGAAAGATACCATACGCTTCAGCTGTCGGCAGCCTTATGTATGTTCAAGTGTGTACTCGACCAGATATAGCCTTTGCCATTGGAGTGCTGGGTCGATACTTAAATGATCCAGGTTCGGATCATTGGAAGGCTGTTAAGAAAATTATGAGGTATCTTTAAGGTACAAAGAATTATATGTTGACTTACAGAAGGTAAATTCTCTTGAGGTTGTTGGGTATTCTGATTATGACTTTAAGGGATCAGAAGATCTTGAGATTGTTGGCTTTTCAGATTCAGATTTTGCCTCTTGTCTAGATGATCGTAAATCCACGACTGGCTATATTTTCATGTTGTCTGGAGGAGCTGTCTCTTGGAAGAGTGTGAAACAAACACTTACAGCAGTTTCATCTATGGAAGCTGAGTATATTGCTTGCTTTGAGACTACACGTCACGCTATATGGCTGAGGAAATTGATATCTGGCATGCACCTAGTTGAGTCAATATCACGTCCTCTAACCATTTATTGTGATAACAAATCTACAGTATACTATGCTAACAATCACAGAAATTCCAGTCGTACAAAGCATTTTGATATCAAACTTATGTTTGTGAAAGAGAAAATTGTTGAGTCTCAAACCCGTGTGGTACACATTCCTGGCACGCAGATGCTTTCAGATTCGCTGACTAAGGGCTTACCTGTAGAAGTTTTTCAAAATCATGTAACTTGTATGGGTATTATAAATTCCTTTGATGCCCTAGTTTAGTGAGAGTTTGAGAACCTTCTTTGTTGCAATTTCTCTTTAGGCTTGGTTTTCTTCTGTGAGTTATATTCAGTTCAGTTAGATACGTCTATGTCATTTGTATCCCTATAGGATTCAATGATTCTGTTGTGGTACGCTATGCATGTCACTTGTTTCCTCATAGGAATCAGTGATTTATGTTGTTATCTTACTGAGCTGTATTTGAAATAAAATTTCATGTTTTACTCAGATTATGAGATGTCATAATCACTTGTTTCCCCATAGGATTCAGTGATTTTGTGGAGTTTCATTTTCTGAATTTTGTTTGTGGCTTGTTTATACAACTTGTTTAATTAATGCAATCCAAGTGGGAGATTGTTGGAATATTATTTATGAATTAGCATTAATTAATAAGCCCAATAAATTGGTCCTTATGATCTTATGTGGACCGTGATAGGTGGATCACACAAGTGAATCCAATGGGCAGAGGCCCAACCCACAACCCAGTAGCCGTCAGTTATTTCCTATCTCTTAACTGACTGAGTTAGAGATAATAGATAATATAATTATTTAATTATTTAATAAGGCGATTACCGATCTGATCTATATAAGGCGATTAGTCGGTAACTACAAACACACGACTCATTCTTCTACTTCCATTATCTCTGAACTCTCTGAAGGCTCTGGAGACTTGTGGGTTGTGTACCTGCCTATACTCGAGGTAATCGAAATTTCTCTAACACTCATGGATTCTTCAGGTACGCATGAATTACTTTATTCTATCATATTTACTATACATATGAATTGAGATAATTAGATTCAACAATCCAATGTAATGGTTTAGATCTGCAATGATCCCTTCTTTGCTCTCATATGCAAAGAAGCAAAGGCAACGCCTATGATTTGATGAAAACCATCTCTCAGAGAATCACTTCGATCTTAAACAAATCATCGATCAAGCATTGAGCTAAGCAGGTAGGAAAATAATTAGAATATTCCACTTCCAATCACCTGAATCTGTGACAAAGTCTGACACCTTCATCGACTTGATCTCGACAGGTAAGTCAAAAGTACCCACTCCAATTCCTCATGGTATTTTTTTAATAAAGTAACAAGTTTCGTTAAACTTTTACAAGTAAACATTTATTAAACCTTAACCTGCCAACAAATTCTCATTAATAATTTAATAAGCAACCATTAGCAAAACATGTTAAGGTCTTCACAAGCAGATGACTTGGAAACTAAAAATTGAGTTGACAACATATGTTAAATTTTGCAATATATGAGTAAGAGGTCATGGTGATTTGATGGCAATATACTTTTTAAAGGCCAAAGAGTTTGGATTTGCATTCAGTGCTCATCGTGCCGATGATCACGGCATGCTCATCACTCAAATGAGTGATTCAAGCTATTCATTTCAACTCAAAATTATCTTTACAATTAATTTTTAAATGTTTTAAATATTATATTTGTTAAAACAAAAATTATAAAATTTTTTAATATTAAATCTAAACTATTTTTAGTGCTCATTAGATGATGAGTACTATGGTACCCATCACCTCTGTTGGAATCAAGATAGTCCAGATTCAAGTTTTTATTTTTATTTTATATTTATCAAAATAAAAATGTATAAAAATATCAAATTTTTAATAAATCTATTCATCATTAATTTTATCAATACAAATTTAATTTGAATGGTCTAATTTAATATACATTTTTTTATAACTTTTACAAATTAATTATTTAAATGTACTCTAGACAGTACAGATAGAAGACAATGTAATTTAAAATTATTTTTTTTATATTTTTATAAATTAATTATCTAGATATATTTTAGACACTTAAAAATTTAATATTAATTTTTTTATAATTTTTTTAAAAAATTATTTTAACAAATGTAATATTTAAAATATTTAAAAATTAATTTAAAATCAATGATAAAAATGATTTTGAATCAAAATGAATGACGTGAATCAATCATTTGAGTGATGAGCACTTGGTGCTAATTAGCGTGATAAACACCAAATGTGAATCCAAAGAATTTAGGGTTCAATCTTTCCTTTGACCACCTTAGATATTTAATAATAGGTGGCCAATGCCAAAACTCTGATTGTGAGACGTGACTTAAGGGAGAAAAAGAAAGAGTAGTCCTTTTCACAACCTAATTTAATTTCATTTAGACCTTTTAGGTGTGCATGGAGAATTCAAAATTTTAAGAACTTCTTGTTCTTCTTCTTCTGCTTCTTTGTTTGCTTATAATAGGCTACAAGGGTTCTTTAGCGCGGTTTTTCCCATTAGAAACATTCCTCTGTAATTACCAATTTGAATGATATTTATTCAATTCTTTGAATGAAAAAAAAAAAATCACTTTTCACAAAATATCTAAGAATTACTTATTTTTTCAAACTTACACCAATAGATCCTCAAAGTGACTTAATTAAAGAAATTCTAAAGGTCATGGTGAATAATGAGGTTTGGGGATTAAGGATCTTCGAAGCCAAAATGAAGCCTTCATTATGAAGTTATTTTGGAAATTAGTAACTGAACCTAAGGATTTCTGGGTTGAGCTTCTTCAAAATAAGTATAGATGTGAGGAAGAAGGGCTACCCAAAGTAAAACAGAAAAAAGTGGCCTCTCCTTGTTGGAGAGGACTTGCAATGGAAAAAATTATTCAGGGATTGGAGGAAGAGAATTATATCTGGTCATCAAACAAAGCTTTGGCTGGAAAAATGGTCTAATGTTGAGACCCCCTTTTTCCAACTGGTTTCATGTAGAGTTGGTAATTCAAGCTAGTCAAAATTTGATGAAATCTAAGAATTTGGATAAGTTTTAACCAAATACCCGAATTTTTTTTAATATTAATAAAATAAAATTAAAATAAGATAAAATTGAAATTTTTAATTAAAATAAATTAAAAAATGTTTAACAAGGGTTTTTGAGCCAACCCGTATAAGTCCAAAGTGTTAGGATCGAACTTTACCATGCAGCTTTTTTTTACATGTTCAAGTGTTTTAAGCCCAGCCGAATTGATTCCAACCTGAATAAGCCTAATCTACTCAAATTACCAGCTCTAACTTCATGTGAACATGGTTTTTTGAACCTTGATGCTACTGTTGCTGATTTTGTAAACAATGAGGGAGATTGGGACAGGAGAAAAATGGCGCACTGGTTATCTTCTCGTGTTGACCTCATCACTAGCACTTAATGCCCCAGAGATATGAAAGGAGTGATGAGTGGTGAGGATAAATTTATATGGAACCCATCTACTGTTGGTTCATTTACTGTTAAATATGTCTACAATTTCATTTTTGCAGGTACTAATGAGCAAAGAGACATTAGGCGGAAGCTTATTTGGAAGTTGAATGTGCCAGAGAAAATGAAATTGTTCCTTTGGCTGGTTGCAAAAGACAAGCTACACACAATGGAGCTCAGAATGAAAAGAGGTATTTCTGAAATATAATAGCTGCCCTTTAGGTTGTGGTGAGGCTGAAAACTCAATGCATGTTGTAAGGGATTGTCAAACTGTAAAATTTTCTCGGCACCAGTGCATTAAGCCAGAATTTAAGAGCATGTTCACCAGCTTGACATGTACAGATTGGATTAAATGGAACCTGAAAAAAGAGCTAGGTGATGGATGGTAATATGAGAAGGCACGTTGGAGTATGCTATTCTCCTATATTTGCTGGGAAATCTGGGATTTGAGATCTAAAAAGGGCTTCGATAATGAAGACTCTAGGATGAACTTACATGAAAAGAAGTTCTTGTTTAAAGTAGCCATGGATGAGCAACTGCTAGAAAAAAGTCAGTCATGACAGAGCTTCAAGGGAAAAATGGAGCACCATAACGTCCCGGGTGATGGTCATGATTGGATACAAAGCTTGAAACTGATGGTTCTGACCTCTCTCATGGTTTGAGTTCTTGTGGTGGAGTGGTTAAAGGACAAAATCACTCCTGAAATGTTTGGTTTCTGTTCAAAATTGCTTCATTGCCCACCTACTATTGCTGATTTATTTGGCATAGTTAAGGACCTGAGATATATTGGGAAAGAGGTTTTTGTAAGATAAATGCTTGTACTGATTGTACTAAAGCAATTAACTTACTCACGAGATCAGTCCAACCACCCCTCCTTCCGAGATGCTATTAATTTTTTTTTATAAAATTAATTATTTAATTCTTATAATTTAAATTCAATTATAATTTAATTTTTAATTTTGACTCGTAATTCATCTCTACAGTTTTAATTTAATTACAATTCAATTTTTAAACTTTAATTCAATACAACTCAATCTTAATTGTTTTGAACATTCAAAATATTAGCCCCTATATTTCAGAAAACAAAATTATAAACATTAAGATTATTTTAAAATTTAAGACTACTATTTTAAATTAATAAAAATTTTAAAGATTAAAATTTTAAAATAATTTTAATATTTATAATTTTTTTACAATATTGGAACTAATATTTTAAATGTTCAAAATTATAAGGATTAAGTTACATCGAATCAAAATTAAGAATTGAATTGTAACTGAATCAAAATTATAAAGATCAAGTTATAACAAATCAATGTTTAAGAACTGAATTATAATAAAATCAATACTTGAGAGACCAAATGAATAATTTTTTTTTTTCTCTAGATATTTTGAGTAGAGACTGGAATGTTAATATCAACTTTATTCATAGATCTTTTAACAACACACCGGACCCTCTAGCTAGGCAAGGCCATTTTTCATCTAATGATTTTCTTATCTTCGATCATCCCCCACTTTTTGTATGCTCATGAGGATGACGAAGGGTCTCTCCAGTTTGTATGTTTTTGACTATCGTTGATTAATGCATTTCAGTTCATATTCGAAATTAAATAAATAAATAAATAATGAAAGGTTGGCCTAGGCTGCTTCATGCTTACTCTTATTTTCCATCAACAACAAAATCTTTAAGATTATAAATAATCATTCCCCAGAGATAACATGACTTTATTGATAACTGTAATCTAAAATGAACTTTGGAAGGAAAAAAAAAATAATCCCCAACTTTGTTTTTGATGGAGGAAAATAAAATAAAACTTTAAATTCTACAAAAGAGATTTTACATGCTTACCCAGGAAATGACTACCACAGTTTATCAAAACGAGCAAGAGAAGTACACAAATTTCACCAAAATGTCTTCAGCAGGTTGTACAGGTTCTGAAGGAATCAATTAGAACATCTTCTTTCAGATTATGACCTGTGAATCCCAAAAAATAAAAGTCCACAAACAAGCTTGAGAAGACCTTCATTCTTATATGTTTAGTGCTTACATCAGAAAAATCTCACGATGTTATTACCTATAAAGACTATCTTATTTGTCCGATTTTCTTCCTTTTCCCACTGGCGAGTTGGTACAATATCGTATAATTCCCTCACCCCCTGCCAGATTTTCAGTAATAAAGGATTTGAGGTTTTTATTCATAACAAAACCTAAGCAACAGGAGTTAACTTCCTCGACACACGTTGTATCAAAAATTCAGAATTAAATAACAAATATGAGGGGTCGTGTAAAAGCCCTTCTATCAGGTTTGGATACAGATTTTCTGAATCTCCAGGCTTGCAAGTTGTGTAAGACAATGCAGAACACAAATGATAGACCTTGTATTCTCTTTGAGAAAGAAAATCCTTATACAATAGGCATGCATAAGTACACACACACACACACACATGTATATAATATAAAATTTGAAAGAAATCTGTTATGGAAGTTCAGTTGTTAATGATCAATTCTCAGCAAGATATTTTTTGTTAACGATCAGCCTGCCTTGATATTGAAATAACAAATGGTATAACCTGTTGAGAAATTTACATTTAGGGAGTGAATGAAGGTTGCAATCATTAACACAGGTTTATTTATCAAGACCAAGCATAATCGTAATGTCCTATAAACCGAATATCCCTCTAAACAGCTATAACAAAAGCCAATGCAACGGTAATAATTCCAACAAGTTCCTTAAATGAATCTCTCAATTTCCTTACAGAAATGTGGGCATTCTTTTAAACAATTCAATAATGCATTATTGACTATTTGAAGGAGATTTTCCCATGCATCATAATTTTAATGAAAACTAGATAGGAAACATTTAAGAAATGCATTTAAGTCATTTCTTACAGTAATCATAAATTTCCGCATAAACAAGCCAACAATGAGAGAATAACCAAAAGCCAACTTAGATGCCAGAACAAAATGACCTCAGCTTCCTATGTCTAACACCTTTTAGTACAATATAACTTCTTGGTAAGTCTCAAGACCATTAAGTATGATAATTTTTTAGTTACCTGCAACGTATGCAGTTGATCAGAATTTTGAATACTGAGAACACCTTTGCAGCGATATACATCCATATCATATTTCTTCTCCCAGAGAATCTCCTCAAGCCATATTCGAACCTGTAAGCGTGGATAAATATACACAGAATTAAGTTGATAGTGTGGAAAGTGTATTCAGTAAACAGAAACAACAACATCTTTTGCCTGTTATGTTTTGAAGGAAAGAAACAATGAATTGGAGTTTCAAGTGAAACGAAATGTAGTATCCCGGTTGCACAGTGTATACAAGTGGGAAAGAATGGGAAAGAAATAGAGAGCGCACTATTTATGACTTTTCCTATTAAAATTATAAAGTGCTGCTCATCATAAAATATACAATGATGCCAGTAACCACATAAGGAGAAACTTCAAGGATTAATTACATATCAAGTGACTGACAAAAACATGATGCGTTACAAGTAGAAATTAAAAGTACCTTTTCAAGATCAACCTTATGTGACTGACAAATGCATATAGTTCTCACACTGCTATCATGAAGCTTTTTGGAAGACAATGAACGGCTTTCTTCTAATAATTTCTCTAAATGCGAGGCATGCTGAAACAAGAGCAGTAAAAGTAATTTTACTAGTATGTAGGTGGGAAAAATTGAAGCAAAATATGAAATATGGATGAAGAACAAAATTATGTGTCATTAACCGCAGAATCATAAGCTTGGCGGTTCAATATCTTTGATAAGTCAACTTGACAGCGGACAGAATGAATTGTCTCAGCAAGGGAGTTAATGTTATGAATTTCCTCCTCCAGCTCCTCCAAAATGCTTCCAGAACCTTCTGGAGAGACCAAATCAACCTTGTTAAGAATTATAATATCCTATAACAAAGAGCAAGGTTATTAGCTCAACACCGGTGAAGTGGATACATTAAAAAATAAAGCCATGAGAAATGGGAGAAAAGTTTGATAAGAAAGAATCAGCAAGATCCAGCATATGCTTGTCAAGCACTGAACAGCAGCAGCCAAAATTTAGCCATGCACTAAACACGTACCGCAAATGCTATCTGAAAATATGCTTCTGGAAATGATGATGATGAGCCACGATGCTCAGCAAGCTGGAAGCGAAGGTTTTTGGCATCCACCACCTGTTTGATCAGAAATTAAGTTTAGAAACAAAAACACACACATACACTCTAAGAATTAAAAAGCATCTTTTCAAGCAAAGGAAAGAAGAGTAAACCCTTATTTGCCACACATGTTCTAACCATCCAAGGAATGAATAGTCTTGAAATACTTAGTTACTTACTAGCAGCACTCAAGTGAAAGAAATTCCAAAAAAGTTGACATAAAAGATGTGAAAATACTTTTACTCAAATTCATCCAAAATATACTTACAGTGATGATAGAATCAAGCTTTACTGCTGATTCCAACTGTTCATCCAACCATAGGACAGATGCCAAAGGTGCTGGGTTTGCCAATCCTGTGGTCTCTAGCAATATATGATCGAGTCTTGATCACAAAAAGAAAAAATAAAAATGCATAGCTCAATTTCCAATATTCGGTAATAATGGTAAAAAATGCAAATTAGCAATTACCAAGTTATACAATATGAAGATGTTACTGCTCTCTAATGTGTCATTTCATTCGATTAAATCATAAATTTGAAACCTTTCTTCTTGCTTTACCTTTCCTTTCGCTGTACAAGTTGCTCTAATGCTTGAACCAAACTATGCTTGACCGTGCAACATATACACCCATTATCAAGCTCAACCCATTCTTCAACAAGTGCACCACCATCCCCTTCATTTATCATTGCCCTTTCCACTCCAATTTCCTCACCAAACTCATTCAAGATGACCGCGATCCTCTTCCCGTGTTGAGAATTCAAAATATAATTAACCAGCTGAAACAATTGGTCCAACCCTATGTTCAAACTTTGGATACCATGGACATGGTAATTTAAAATGTTGACAAACAACAAGAACAGAGAAGAGAATAAAGGGAAAACCGCATTTTACTACCCTTAAATTAAACCCTAACAACAAAGTTGCTATCAAGTTCAAAAAATTAGTGGGATTTGGTCATTTTAACACTTCCATTTCATTTCCTGGGGCCCTAAGTTTTATATACTAATTGTATAATCAGACAGAAAAAAAATGCAATTTCCAATATATATATATATATATATGAACCGAATCCCCAAAGCTCAGAACATGTAAAAATCTTACTAAGTAATGCAAAGGAAGAGATTGGGGTCGCAGAGAGAGGCACAGAAATTCGACGGGGAAAGCTTACAGTGGACTTGCCAGCTCCAAGATAGCCGGTGATGACAGTAACCCCAACTGAAGCTTTCGAGTCAGAGTCGGAATAATGAGACGTTGATTCCTCTTGTTGGATCTGAATAGCTATAGGTGGCCCTTCTTCTTCATCGTCCTCCATTCTCGACCCGATCATTCTATTCCAGTTCTTGCCTTGCACAGTTGCAGGGACCCTTCTTGCTCCAAGAACTTGCGTAAATTTTCAATGAGGCTCCTTTTTTCTTTTCTGTTTTTCACTTAGAAAGAAGCATTTAATCAGACATGGGAGAGAGAATATGAAAAAATGGTTGGATTGGGCTGGGCTTCAATTTATGGTGGTCCCTTATTAGCAAAATGTAGATGAAGAATGGTTGGATCAATTCAGTGCATGTTTGGATTACACTCTAACTCATTTAGAATAGGTATAATTGAGGTTATGATGCAAAATGCAAAAAAAAAAAATGTTTGGATTAGCAAAACTTTTCAACCTTAATTAGCTTAGAAACATGCGTTATCTAAAAAACCAATTGATCTGGCTTTTCCCTTCTCAGCATTCACGTTTGCTCGTTGGAAGCAATAAATGCATTTTAAATTTTATTGCTTTCTCTCTCTTTTCTCTCTTGCTTCCTGTGCATGCTGCTTTACCCGTGACCTCCATCCGCTTCAAAACTGCTTCAAAACACACTTCCAGATCTGCTTCCTTTGGCCAGTTGTCTGCTTCTTCGGCATTGTCTCCAGCTTTCCACCGTGCCCCTGCTCTAGTCTCCAGCTCTCTTTGTTAGTCATTTTTTGTCGATCTCCAGCATACCACCGTGCCCCTGCTCCGATCTCTAGCTCTATTCTGTTAGTCATTTTTCTGTCAATCTCCAGCTTTCCACCGTGCCCCTGCTCCGAAGTGCTTTTTCTCACTGTTGCCTCTCGATCTCCACCGTATCCACCAGATCTGCACTTCCTATCGCTGGATCTACTCCTTATCGCTTGTCCTTGCCAAATAAGGTCATTCTTTTCGTCTCCTTCGTTGCCTTATTTCCTGTTGTGCTCCGCTATTCCTTCTTTGAAGACTTTTCTTCCTTCACCGTCGTGCGCTGCTGCTCCAGAAAGTGATATGTGCTTGTTATTCTCTCATGTCCACCCCTTGTTTGTTTATTTTAGAGCAGAGGAAGATATAATGCGTGTAACATGAGTACAGATGCCCATAAGATGCGTTTTTGGAACTCGGTTATTTATAATGCTATTAGACCAATCATCTTTTCTGCATTTCTGGAACTCACTTGTTATGTGTTCCTCGAATAGTTTGTGAAGCCATAGATTGCTTTACTTGTAGTGTCTCATCTGAAATTATTGTTGAAGTGTTTCTAATGCTTTCATACTCTGACTTGAAGGATATTTATGTTGTTTGCTATTTTCATATTGACATGAAAATGAGCAGCGGTCATTCAATATTCTAAGCTTTTGGTATGTTATGATTGGCTTATCCTGTTACTGGAAGAATAGGTGGTGGGTGTCTACTGATTCTAAATTGCATGCATGAACATTAGCGGCATACAATTGCCTCTAAATGAGTAAACATGTCTGCTATCTATATTGTTGATTACTTGATTTATTATACCTATATTTATTAACCTGAATAATGAATGGAGTGGATGGCAGGTAACCATTGCCAGGGGGCTATGCGTGTTAAAATTTCCATTAAATCATGCATTTGATGGTCTTAATTTTTTTTTCTTTTTAGGAGTAAGGTTACGATAGAGCAGAGTATTTTTTTCTCAATTAATCTCAATCAATCTTCTACAACTCAGGAGAGAGGATTTGTAAATATAGCACGATTATTATCATTGTCATGAGTAGCTATGGCGATGCAATTAGCATATTTATTAGTTTCCTTTTGTACTAGCTCTCTTTTATACATGGTCCATGCTATAGCATCTTTTTTATTATAACTTTCTAACTTAGAGTCATGTAGATATCAAGGATGCATGTAGTAGTATGTAACACACATTAAAATGTGAAATCAAATTAAAAAATTAAAGCTGTGAGTGACATGCATATTATGCATTGTACTATTATTATTGTGGCAATTTTACAATATTAACCACCCAATGTAAATGCTGAAGGTCATATGATTCATAGGTCAAATGCTAAAGCATACCTCAGCTTCCTCCTGTTGCACTTTAGCTTGCTCTAATTCCTACTTGTGCTTCAATTCTTTTTGTGCAAGTTGCATTATTTTAAATTTTTGTTCTTCATTATATAAACTTCATGAATTTGAAAAATGCCAAACTAAAAATAGGAGATATATATTAATTTTGCATATATGTAGAGATATATATTGATTTTGCATGTTTGTAATGGCTGGCTAGTCTCTACAATAATGAACAGTGACAAAGGAAAAGCTGTGTGGAATTCAACTTTAACAGAAATTTTCATTAAAGAATGCTTAGAACAAGTGTACAAGAAACAAAGGAAAGGAACTGCTTTCAACAAAAATGGGTGGTAGGCAATAATTGAGGGGTTTGAGGTAAAAACAAGAAAAAGGCATTAGCGAAAGCAATTGAAAAATGAGCTAGATAACATGAGGAAAGAATGGAACGTATGGCATAAGTTTTTTTCAAGTGAAACCGGCTTAGGGTGGGACAATGACAAGAATATTGTTGATGCTCCAGATGAGTGGTGGGAGCAAAAATCTTGGTATGGATTAGTTGTTAAGTGTTTTTAAGATTGGAATTTAATTTGAGAATTTTAATTGTTGGTTATTTGAATGGTTACAGGAAAATCCTCTTTATGGAAAATTTAGATATAAAGGTCTAAGATTTGTAAGGGAATTAACCTTAATATTCAAGAATATCCTGGCAACTGGGGAAACACTTTTTGTACCATCTGCTACCCAGACCCAAATAGAGGATGATGATGATGAGGATGTGTACCGCCCTACTATTGACCTTCGAGAAGGCTTCGGTGATAGTGAAGAAGAGCTAAATTTATCTGACACTGCAGCACCTACGGGGGTCATCGATGAGTTGTTGGGCTTGAATGTCACCACAAATACCGGTGGAACTAGTGGTGACGGAAGTCAAGGCAAAAGAAAGAGGGTGGTAGGCATTGGTGGGAGGAAAAAGCAAAAAGTCCCTGCATCAATGAAAATAGCAGATGCGATGAGTGAAATGGCCAAGGATAATAGAGCTAAAACAGAGACAATGAGCAAGATTTTAGCAAATGACATAGGAGTTTCTGAGGTTGTGGCTCACCTAAATGGACTCCTAGAAGTTTTTGGTGATAAAGATTTGCATTGGAGATGTGTCAATCTTGTCTTGTATAAGCCTGTACGAGATTCTTACTGGCAACTTAAAGATCATCCTGATCACTTGGTCAATTGGTTAAAGCACCAAGTTTACCATCTACCAGATTGGATTTCAAAAAATACATCTGGATGAATTTTTATCTAGGCTTATGATGACTTGACTTGTGTTTGACTTGTAGTTGCTTTATTTTAACTTGTATTTGACTTGCAGTTGCTTTATTTTGATTTGTGTTTGACTTGTAGTTGCTTTATTTTGACTTGTAGTTGGCAAATGATGACTTGGTTTGTAGTGAATATTTAACTTTTATCTAATGCTTATCTTATGCTTTATCTTTTATGTTATTGAATGATATTTATATACTATGTACTTTATATTATATAAAATGATATTTACATACTATTTTACCTCAGGTTTAAAATTATGGAAGATTCGAATGAGTATATGTTAGGTTGGAAGAAGGTTGGGATGTAGATGTGGCTCATCAACTACTTCCCTTGTTACAGCAAGATATAACGGAGCAAGAAAAATATGTCAATTAGTTAGTGAATATGTGATGCCATATTTGTGTAAAGAGCCATAGAGAACTAGTATGCAAATAGGGCAAATGTGGGTAAATGAGATTTTGCAAGGTCATCTTGATCGTTGTTATGAAATTTTTTGAATGGAAAAACATTTGTTTAGGCAACTGTGTGTGACACTAGTTGATCTTAGTCTAAAAAATCTAAAAAATGGGAGTTGAAGAAATGGTTGGAATGTTTTTAAATACAGTTGGACATGGAGTTGGTAATAGGATGATACAAGGACAATTTTAGCATTCAGGGGAAACTGTCCATAGAAATTTCCATAAAGTATTAGCTGCCTACCTTAACCTTTCCAAGGCAAACATAAAGCCACTCGATCATTTGTTTCAATGATGTCATTCAAAAATTCAAATGATCCATGGTATTGGCTATTCTTTAAGGATGCTATAGGAGCAATTGATGGCACTCATGTGCCATGCGTGGTTAGTGTTGCTGATCAAATCAAATTTATTGGAAGAAAGGGATATGCAATACAAAATGTTATGACTGTATGTAATTGGGACATGTGTTTTACTTTTGTCATTGCGGGATGGGAAGGCACAGCTCATGATGCTCGAGTATTTGATAATGCCATATCAACTCCTTCAATACATTTTCCGCATCCACCTCTAGGTATATTTTATTAAAGTCACTATAATTATTATTGCATTGATTTAATGTTGGTCAAATTTACATCACTTCCTTTCATTTAATAGGTAAATATGATTTGGTTGATTCTAGTTATCCAACACTAAATAGGTATCTTGGTCCATATCGTTGCGAATGTTATCACCTTCCAGACTTTAGGCGAGTTGCAGGATTTACAAACAATAATGAGGTCTTCAATTATTATCATTCAAGTCTAAGATGCACTATAAAAAGAACTTTTGGAGTGTGGAAGAATATGTTTGCAATTATACGAAAAATGTCCAAATTTAAATATAAAACACAAGTTCAAATTGTTTGTACAATAATGGCAATACATAATTTTATTAGGAGAAATTCAATTACTGATGAGCAGTTCATACGAGCTGAAGATGAAAGTGTAGAAGTCCAGGAGGAAGATATCGATATTAGTGAAGCATCCTTGTCAAATCTACCCGGTCCATCAAGACAAATGCAGCATGTTCGTGATACAATTAGAGATCAACTTGTAAATCATATCAATTAAATATTAATTTATTTTAGGTTTTCATGGTTGAATATTTAAGATATTTTCCTTATTAGTTGTAATTTTAATTTTTATATTTTTTATTTATTAATTAGTCAAAAAAAAATATAAACATGCTTATTTAAGATTTAATATTTAAGATAAAAAATTTATGCTTATTTTTGCCATTAAATATTTCAACTGGCTTTTGAATTAAACCATCCAAATGAATTTCAGTTT